TAAAGCCTATTCCTACAGTAAAATGGAAACTTTGCACCCTTTGAACAACATCTCCCCATCCCAACCCACCCTACCCCAGACTCTGGTAACCACCATCCCACTCTCTACTTCTATGAATTCTACTTTTTTGGCTTCTATGTAGAAGTGAGATCATGCAGTACTTATGTTTCTATGCCTGTGAGCCCCTTTATTCATTCATAAGGTGGATGTAAGAATTGTTGTTCCATTTGCCTTGGAAAATCTTTCCCCAGACATTGCTTGATGCTCACACTTACATTTCCCTAGTCTGTTCAGATGCCACTTCCTCCATGCATTCTTTCAGCACTGCCTTGTTAGAAACTGCGACTCCACCCCAGCACTTGTCATTCCCGTTCCCTGCTCTGTTTTATTTTTCATAACATTTACTACTAAACACACTACATTATGGTCTTATATGTTTTATATGTTGTATCTCTCTCCCCAGTAAGAATATGAGCTCCAAGAGGGCAGAGGTTTTGCCCGTTTTGTTTACTGCAGTATTCCCAGAATGAAGCAGGTGTTCACAAAACATTTGTGGAAATAATGTCTTAATTAAATGAGCACCTAACAGTACCTGGCACATAGTAGGGCATTACTATTACTCAGATATTGTTCACTAATCAGGTCAATGCCACATGGTTCCTACTTTACTAATTCATCTAAAAATATTTCTTGTGCATATATTATATGCCAAGGAGTATGCTGGACTCTGGTGATGCAGGAATGGACAAAAGGACTTAGAGATCAGCAGAGGACTTCCTAGTACCTCAGAGGTTATTGTGGGAATTGAGTGAATTAATGTATGCAAAATACTCTGCACAATCAGGCACAGAGTGGTTGTATCAGTCAGCTTTTGTGATGATAAAGCTATGTGACAAACACACCCAAAATCTCAGTGGTCCTCAGCCAATAGTTATTTCTTGCTTATGTCTGAAGGTTGGCTGTGGATCAGATTTGGGTCTGCTCCATGTGCCTTGTCATTTAGCAATCAAGGCTATAGGATTTTGTTCTAATTTTTTTTGGTAGAGACCGACTCTCACTGTGTTTCCCAGGCTGGTCTCAAACTCCTGGCCTCAAGCAATCCTCTCACCTTGTCCTCAAATGTGCTGAGACTACAGGAGTGAGCCACTGCACCTGGCCCTCCTGCAATATGTAGACATGCTATTCTCTTAGGAGAAAGCAAGAATTGGCAGAAATTTGTCATGCCTAATGGAGGCTACTGCCTGGAAATGCCATGTCATCACTTTTGCCCACATTCCAGTGGCCAAATAAAGCTACAGGGCTAAGCCCAACATCAGCAAGGTGAGGAAATATACTCTGCCTACTGACCAGGGAGGAGAGAGTGAATATTTGATGGGTAATAGTACAAAATACCATATGTTTAATAAACTTCTTTATAAGGGAGAAAAAATAAGTTTCTCCCACAAAACCCAATACAGGGGATGGTTGACAGTTACACATTATCCCAAGGAGAGTCACCTAGATGGTGATAGAGTTGGAGGCTAGAAACCCATTGGTATTTGTATGAAGAGGAGAGAGCACAAGTTTGCAGTCAAGGCAGACTCAGGATTCAAGCCTTGGCACCATGAATTGACAACTGAGCCTCTCAGCCTGTCCTTTCACCTCCCCAGGTGGCATCCATAAAATGAGCCTCCCACATGGGGTTGCCTAGAGAAGCAGAAAGTCTAATGTGGGGGCAGGTTGTTTGTGAGCCACGAACACTCCACAGTTGTTGGGTATTATTCGGAGCCATTAATGCGTGTGATGCCCAGTGGCTCAGCTCAGTGGGCATTTTCTGAGCTTCGGACCACTCCTGGTGGAAATTTGCATAAGGTTCTGTTGAATGTGACATCTCAATATTTCTCTTATAGTTCCTTCTCCAGCATCTCCCATCCCTGATTCAGAGTCCTAGTCCTAGCAAGTAAGTCATCCAAAACAAATATTCATTATGCTTCTTGATGGCCCTGGTACTCTTCTAGGGGCTGGGAACACAGCAGTAAGGCAGGCAGAAATAAGTTGCTGTTATGAACTTCAAGTTCTATGAGGGAAGAGGGATTTGGGGCAAGTAATTCTGAGTGTAGGGAGAGTTGGGGTGGCACAGGAAACAATGAATCAGAATGAGAGAAAGAGCCAAGTTGCAGGGGAAGTCTTACCAAGAAAGCCACCCTTATAACACATGGTGGCCAGAGTTGTGATGGAGACAAGTGTGGGAAGCTGAGGGAACCACCCAGTGGGGCCACCTGATCCAGGCTGGAAAGTCTGAGGTGGCTTCCTAGGGGAGATACATCACACCATAGTGGTTGATTCTCCCAGATCCACTCCATCAAAAGTGATTGGATGTGTCAAAGCCAATGATGGTGATGCAATTCTCCTTCCTGCCAGTGATTGACTCAGGGAAGGACATGAGACCAATCCTGGCCAAGGACACATGATGGACAGTCTGTTAGGAGGCTGCCGGGAAAGTTTCCTTGGTTCCAAAAGCAAGGCATAAGAAAAAAATTCTGGTTTCTCTGGATGTTCTGGGTCTGGTTATGACGTCAGGTCTGCTATATCCACGTTGAAACCTGCCTGGCATAACACCTCCAGAGTACATACGTGAAAGGGACAGGGATGCTTGAGGACACCATTGAACTGCTGCCTTGACCAAACCAGGACTCTCATCCCCTCTTGACTTCTGAAGTTCCATTCATGTGAAACATTAAACGTTCTTACTGGTTCTGCCAATTTGAAGAAAGGATCTATATTAGTTGCCTCTAAGATCTAATATAGGGGAAACCGGACCTGGGTTTTGAAGGATGAGTAAGAGTTTTCCAGGTGAAGAAGGAGAGAAGGTCAACTAAGGTAGAGGGAGAGAATCATAAGGAGCCAGGTCATGGAGGTCTGCTATATACCAGGCTGAGGATTCTGGCCTTACTCTGAGAATGGCTTCTGCACAGATCAGGTGAGGCCTTTTAGGAGGCAGTGCAGACCTAGTTCCAGTCCTGCCTTCCCCCACTTGAAAGCAACTGCAATTAGACAATGCACATAAAACTTTCGGCATTTCCATTTCCCCCTCTATAAAATGGAGATGATAACACCACTTTGCAGGACTTGAAGAGAATTAAATAAGCTAATGGGCATAAAATCCTTAGCAAAGTCTCTGGAATGGGGTAAACGTAGCCCTTATTGTTACTAGAGTTTTATTATTTTTATACCATTATCATCACACATACACTGTATTGGTTCGCCATTGCTACCTAACAAACCATCCCCAAACTCATTGCTTGAATTGTTTTGCTCATTGTCTGTGGGTGTGCTGGTGATTTTTCTGGCCTCAGCTTAACTCACTGAAGCGTCTGAGTACAGCCGGAGGTCAGGCAGGTGGCTTCATTGTCTTGGTGGGGCCTTTCAGTATTTGAGGGTCAACTGGCCATAGGCTGATATAGAATGACCTTGTCTGAAATGACAGACAAGGAGTTCCCCTCCACAAGTTCTCATCTGCTAGCAGATATCCTGGGGTTGTCCCCATGGTGGATGGGCAAGATTTCAAAAGAGAAAGTAGAAGTGTTCTAGTCTCTTGACCCCTGAGAACCCCTAGGAACTCTCTGAGTCACTTCCACTGTACTCTGTAGGCTAATACAAGTGATAAGGCCAGCCTAGATTCAAGGATTTTTCAGGAACCAGACTCCACTTTTCAATGAGAGGAGCTGCAAAAGCACATTGGAAAAAGAGTAAATACAGAGAAGGGCAGCAAATTGCCACCATTTCTGCATCTCCCACACATAACTCTGATGTCAGGAGACCCAGAATGCCCCACTCAGAATTTGTCTGATCAGAGTCCCAGCCAGCAAACATCCAAAAAAGGCTGTGGCCCACTCCAAAGCCCTCCTCGAGCCGCTTCCTTGGCTGTATTTGCACATTATGATTGGTTCCCCTACTTACCAGTCCTGGCAGGAAGAACCTTCCTTGTCACCAGCTCCTGGAGAATGATTAAAATCCCGCACTATCGTCCAGACCTTAATAGGAGATTCCTAAAGGCAGAAACCTGACTTGCCCTAATTTTCCATAATTAACTCATTAAGGCACATGGAATGGCTGCTGCTGTGCACGGGGGCTCCCTGGCTTTTCCCAGACTGTCCAGTAAGTCCCTGCTCGCCACATCGCATGGGGGAAGGGAAGCTGCTGTTTATGGAAGACCTATTATGAGCCCAAATGGGTGGGCGTTTTCTAGGTGTGAACTCACAGCTTCTCTCAACAGCTGAGCCAGGTGGATATTGTGATTCCCATGTTATGATGAACTGGCTGAGGCCCAGAGAGGTGAAGTCACTTGCTGGGAAGTTCCTGAACCTAGCTAGTGGTTATTTGGTTACTTACGGGGCCATACCTGGACAGGTTCCAAAGAAACTGAAGGTGCAAGTCAATATAGGCTCCTTTCTCTGGGGGAGAAAAAAAAAAAGAAAGGGCCTCCTGAGGTGATGTGATTCAATCACAAGTGTCTCCCCTAGCGGCTAGCACAGGGCTTGGAGCCCCTCCACTAATCACTCCCTTCACTGGGTGTTTCTTTTTTCATCACTGTCACCAAAAATTAGCACTAGGCAAGGAGACCCTGTTAAAATACAAATAGTGTGGAGCTCCAATTCGTTAAAACACACTTTTCTGAGCTTCCCCGCAGACCTTTCAAAACAGACTCTTTAGGAATGAGGCCCTGGAATCTGTATTTTAATGTTCTCCTCTGTAGGTAATTCTGATGTAAAAGCCACTGACAATATCCTGCATGGAAAGACACCCACACAGTGTTGCTGTTGTTGTTGTTATTAAGTGAATAAAGCAAGTTGTCTAAAGCTTGACCCCATATTTGACAAAGAGATCTCAAATAGGTAAGGAAAAAGTCTGTATGAAAAAGAACATACTGACAGTGGAAAGTTCCTACTCAGAGAGGGGTGATGGAGCTAGGTCATGATTATCTGTATTACTTGAACATTGTGCAAAAAGCACGTATTCCCTTGTAATCAGAAAAAGCAGTAAGACTCTTTTAATGCAAACATCCTTGAAAGAGAGAGAGGATATTGGCAGTTGGGAGGCAACATTGAAGAAAATCTTTGACTGCGGCAGCTAGCTGAGAGCAAAGCGTTTTGGGAAAAGGCTTTGGTGTAGGCACCTAGGGGAGAAATGGGGGGAAGTATGAAAATCCCAGCAGCAAGAGCACCAAAGTCCAGGTCCAACTGTTTCTATATCCTGTAATCTTAACCCCCATGCTGAACCATTGTGGTAGATTGCAGTGGTGGCCCCAATTCGTCCTCTGTCCCTGTGCCTGTGTCCTTGCCCGTGTGACTGTAATGCTCCTCCTCTTTCAAGTTGACTCCACCAAGTGACTTGCTTTGGTCAATGAGATTTTAGCAAGCAGGACCCAAGACGAGGCTTAAAAAGTGGTTGTGCCTATACCTCTCCCATAAGACCACACCCAGGCTGCCTATTGGAGGATGAGACACATGTGGAGGAGAGTCCAGTCATCACCGTTGACGATGTTTCTTTATCTACCACTGTCACCCAAAATTAGCACCAGCCAAGAAGTCCCTGTCTAAAATAGAAATAGCATGGATCCACAATTAGTTAAAACACAGTTTCCTGAGCTTCCCCTCAGAACTTTTAAAATGGACTCTTTAGGAATGAGGCCCTGGAATCTATATTTTAATATTCTTCTCCATAGGTAATTCTGATGCATAAGCCACTGACCACATCTTGCATGGAAGGACAGGTTGACAGCCGGCTGACCCCGGACATGTGAGTGCACCCAGCCAACGTCAGCAGAGCTGCTTTGCTGACCACCCAGTAGTCACTAATGATCAATGACCAATAAGTGTTTATTGTTTAATGTCACTAGATTGTTTGTTATGCAGCATTTGGTAGCCGTAAATAATGGATACAAGTTTGGACCTGTCCACATTGACTGCACAGAAGAGGAGCCCTTAACACTGACCTATGTTTGGTTGAGTCTGACTCTGGCAAAAGGGATGTTCTGGGCAGGACTTGCTGGTGGAGCTGACTCATGGGTGTCACCCCTCAGTTACTGTTCTGATTTATCTGGTATCTCCATGCTCATGAACTCTCAAGCATGAGTATACTTTTTCCTATCACAGAGTAAATAATGGAGCCCTGTCAATTCCACAGTTCATCAGTCATATGCACATTAGACTCACCTCTGCTGACAAGCTCTTTTGCTCACTCTCCCAAATGAGGAGACACAAGACAGTAACATTCTTTTTTCGCTTCTCCTAGGTGTTTACATTGTAGATCACAAGTACTTCCTTGCCTGGCACTATCATTTTAACGAACTCCATCAGCAATACACATTCAGATAACTCCAGAACCATGTACCCACACTCAAAGTCTGTAAATAATCGAAATGCTGTATTGAAATTACCAGGATTTTTGCTATGTGCTTATATACATTAGGCTATTTAATCCTCATGTGACTGTGCAGTAATACCATCATAGCAACATTTCAGAAGGAACAAAAGATGGGTCTAAAAAACTGCAATGCAGGTGAAAGATAAAATCCATACTATATTAGGATAATGTCAATATGATGTCAAAGAGTTCTCACAAACTGACCAGAAAAATGACAAATGGCCCCACAGAAAATGGCAAAGAATAGGAATTTATGGACAAAATTCAAATGGCCAAGAATCAGAGGAAAAGATGCTCCAATTCTCTAGAAGTTAGGCAAATGCAGATTAAAATAACAATGAAATACTATTCTATACGCATTGAACTGGCAAAAATTAAAAAGGGTTATAACACCTCCTGCTGGTGGAGATGAGGGGAAAGGACATTCTCCTGAATGGCTGGTAGATGTGGAGACTGTGATCCAGGAAGTCATCGGCTTGCCCAAGTTAACACATAATAAACAGCAGAGTCATCATTCAAATCTGGATGCAATGAGCACCAAAGCTTATGCTATTAAATACTAAATAACTGGAAGGAATGTAGAGATCTATCTAGAGGGTTTCAAGTTATTTTTTATATATATATATATAAATATATATGAGATATATATATATATTCAGCAGAATCTCTCTCCAAATAACATCTCACAGAAAGTCCTAGTCTCATGAAAGAAATAGCAAAGAGCCGCTATGAGCTGCTATGTTTGAAGATGAGATTGGGTGTGGAGGGGATGGTTTCAGTCTCTCCTCCTTGCCCCTATCCTCATTATACAGCCAAGGAATCTCTAGATCTCCATGGAACAGAGTTTGAAAATGACTATCAAGCCCAATCCCATAATTTCAGAGGATCAGGGACATAAGTGAATGGCCCAGAGAAGGCAGGAATTGCTTGAGGTCACATAACCCATCATAGCAGAGCAGGGACTAAGATTAGCACTCCTGCTATATGACTCTCAGGGTTCTGGATAGTCCTAACTGTCATGATCGTGCCCACAGGCATCCTTCATTCAGCACCTTCTAGGTGTCCGGCAATGTCATGCTTCATGTCCACTCCTCACAGTGACCCAGCATGAGGTGACCAAAGCCTATAAGAGTGACAGGACATGCCCAACCCCGCACACCTAGTAAATAACCAAGACAGGATTTGGACCAGGTCTACCTGAATCCAAACCGGCAGTGTCCTCCACTGTACAGAATTACCCCAGGTAAAGCAGCTGTGGGTTATGAAGAGTGTAGGCAGATGGGGCAGGAACTTTAGCCTAGAGTCCCCATGCATGCTCCCCCAATCCCACCTGCCATGTTGTGTTCCATCAAGATCTTCACCGTCTTTCTTTACGCATCAGCTCCTGACCACTCAGCACCCAGCACTGCCCAAAAACTAGATAGCACTTAGCAACTGTTATTTTCTGGCTGCTCATTCTTAGAGGCTAGCTGTAAGTCACCTATGGGGAAAGAGGTGGACTGAAGGCAGAGAGTCCTGGGCTCACAGCCTAATCAGACATTTCCCAGCTGTGTGATTCTAAACAAGTTAATCCATTGCTCTGTCCATCTGCTCCTTCAGAGATAAATCAGGGTTCTACAGTAATTGCGCTGTACCCATTAGGATGCTTTGGGATGCAGGTAAAAGAAACCCCGACACACACTGGCCAAAACATTGACAGAATCTATCATCTCACATAACAGGAGGTCTGCCAGGCAGAGTCCCCTTTGGGGTATAGATTTAGCAGTGCAAGGATGTCAAGGAAGATGTAGCTCCCTCATCTTTCAACACTGCCATCTTCAGAGTCAGCTTCCTTTTCTGGCATATAGTAAGATGGCTGTCTGAATTGCAGGTGTCACATTTATTAATACATATAACTACAAGCAGTAAAGAGTATCCCTCCCTTCTGATGCCCCTTCTTAGTAATAGAAAGTTTCCAAAACACCATTAACAAATTTTCTCTCACCTCTAATTGGACAGAACTGGGTCACATGCTAACCCTTAAACCAATCATTGGCAAAGGGAATAGTATTGCTGTGATTAGCTGGAACCAATCATCTGCAGTGCAATGTCTGATGAGAAGCCAACTATTTATTTTGAAACAATGCATTTAAGAAGGATTTGCTGTGCTAAATGGCCAGCCCGGTGGCACTTCTGCTTTTTTTCAACTTTGGATCTAGGACACTGGAAACACTCAGCAACTAGTGAGTGAGGGTATGAGTGAGTGAATGAATAAATGAAGAATTTCTTTCCTCTCATTGCTTTCTCCATTGCCCAACTCAATCATCTCTGGATGACCTCAATGCCCAAATGAAGCCACAAAAGATGGTGGATCTGGAACAAATTAGGAAATAATTTGAACTCTCTGGAAAGCTCTACTGAAGAGATGAGTGAATCTGGGCCAAGCCCAAGTTGTCTATGTCCAAAAATACTCATCAACTTGTCAACAGACTCTCTTGGGTGAGGGTGGACACCACATGGCTCACTTACTGATTTCGTCAGTGGTGGTGTTGCTGCTAGTGTTCTAAATGAGTTGTCCCTGGTATTGAGATAATTTTGGAAGCTCTTTTTAGGAGTATGGTTAATGACAGACACGGTTGTTCAGAATAAATAGCCAACCTAGTTTTGGCAGTGGGACAATAAAACATTTCTGCCAGAGGAAATACAATGGGCAGGGTTGACCACCTCTAACTGGAATTTTGGTGGTCTCTATCCAAGATAGGGGCTGTTTGGTTATTTTGCCTCATGTTGGAGCCACAGTGGGAGACGACAGTGGCTGTCTTCACGTTCCACCAGGAAATTAGTCTCCCTCTGGGAATTCATGCTGAAGGCTACCAGTTAGAACCCAGCTGAAAGGAGAGATACAGCATCCCCACCACTATGAGTATGGTTAATAACAGACATGGTTGTCCAGAGTAAATAGCCAACCTAGTTTTGGCAACCCTCTGTGGTTGGAGACAAACCATGGGAAGGTGCTCAAATTTCGGTTTATCCACCTATAAGGTGGGGTTTGGATGACATGATAAACTTTGAGAAACACAGAAGGCAATGTTGGGTAGAAATGGGATCATATGGCCCATGGTCATGCTGTGAGTTTTGGCAATTGTGGTAGGGGTACAATTTGTTCACAATGTTTTTCCTTCTCCACTCTCAGCACATTTCACTGTGGGTGGAGTGTACATTCCTATCCCGTTGATACTGGGCTGGACCATACAACTTGTGTTAGCCAATAGTAAATGTTTAGAAATGCTGAAGTAACTTTGGGCCACTTCTGAGCTTAAGCCTTACACAGTTTTGCCTGTGTTTTCATGTGCTCTCTTGAGATTTCTGTTCCCTTCCTTTAGAAGGGCATGTCCTGCGAGGCCACTGGCTCCAGAATGAAAGACAAAGGGAGCAGGGTCTTTCCTACCCTGCAGAGCCATCCCCAGATGATCCACAGGACTGTTAAATAAATAAATAAAGTTGGCTTTGTCATGAGACAGGAATCATCCCCATTTTAGAGATGAGAAAACTGAGGCTCTGTGAAATTAGGGGACTTGTCCAAGGTCACACAATCCGAAATCTGCAGAGCTGGCATTTAAATGGCCCCAAAGGCTGGATTTTCCTGCTCTCTTTTGCTCCATTCAAGTGAATGATCAAGAATACAAGTGTCAGCCGAGCACAGTAGCTCATGCCTGTCATCCCAGCACTTTGGGAGGCCAAGGCAGGTGGACTGCCTGAGCACAGGAGTTTGAGACCAGCCTGGGGAATATGATGAAACACTGTCTCTACCAAAAAATACAAAAAACTAGTCAGCCATGGTGGCACATGCCTGTGGTCCCAGTTTCTCAGGAGGCTGAGGTGGGAGGATCACTTAAGCCTGGTACGCAGAGGTTGTAGTGAGCCGAGATCACTCCACTGCACTCCAACCTGGGTTGGAGTGAGACCCCATCTCAAAAAAAGAAAGAACAGAAGTGTAGTTCCTTAAGGGCACAAGACCACTGCTCTGCCATCTGGGTATAGACAGAAAAATAGAAGCCTCTTCTGGAAAGCCCCTCTCCAGAGACCCATTGAGCTGACCCCAAATTCGTAACTCTACAGAATGTCTAGAAGTGGTCCCAGGCAGATGGGGCGTTGTCACCTGGACAGGTCTCAGTTATCTGCTGCTGCTGCTGTGTGAGCATCCCGTAGAAGAAGCCAAGAGGAGACTCACTCCCTCCTACTGGGGGATGCCATTCTGTTCTTAAAAGCATTTATTGAGCACCTACTGCTTACCAGAAATAAATGGGATGCCTTGAGAAACCCAAAGTCATTTGTAGATAAGGGAAGGAAATACATTTCAAAGTTCTCAGCCTCACATCCGAGACTCTTTTCACCTGACTCCAAACAAACCCCTATTGTTACTTATGTCAATACTTCAACCTCTCCTACCCCTCCGTTCACTCTAAACTCAGCCATATGAAAATTGCTTTGCTCCAAGCTTTTGCTTAACTTGTTCCTGTGGCCTGGGATGCACTTCTCTGTTCCATCTCAATTATGACATTTCTGTTCAACATTAAAGGTGTGATGGGCCACCTTGGAGCCCTCTTTCCCAATCCCCTTCTCTGGGCTCTTTGTTGTCTGTGACAGCCATCTCGATGCTGGTCTACATGGAGGCCTGACTTTCCCACAAGCCCACGGTTTCCCACAGAGATGTTTCTTTACTCATTTTGTATCACTTCCCAGCACAACAGGTAGCACAAATGCCAGATACTGGGTAGAAAATGTATGCGAACATTATGCCCTTAGTAGTATAGAGCAATTTGGAATTTATTTGTTAGTGAGCTCCAGGTTTAAGTCCCAGATTCCTTTCTTTCTAGCTCTGTGACTGTGGGGAAACAGCTCACCTCTCTGAGCACCGCCAGACACTATTGTTGAGGATTCCGTAAGATAAGCAACTAGCACTCAAGAAATGTAACCTATTCTTACAGATCACATAA